CAAAAAAATTGATTCTTTTGGCGTTCCAAAATCTTACGGTCCTCAAAGGGTTAATGAGTGTGCTTATGACATTCTACTCTTTGATCTTGACTCCATAACAGAGCATTTTGGCTTTTTTTGTCATCCTAGCACCCCACGGCGATTAGATGTGATGCTGTAAGGAAAGCCCTGATGATAGCGGGCGGCACAGTGGCTTAGTGGTTAGCACATCTGCCTTGCAGTAAATGGGTCATGGGTTTGATTCCCAACCATGGCATCTCCTGCATGGAGTTTGCATGTTCTCCCTGTGCTTGCGTGGGTTTCCTCCGGGTACTCTGGTTTCCTCCCAAACTCCAAAGACATGCTGGTAGGTTAATTGGCTCCTGTCTAAATTGGCCCTAGTATGTGTATGTATGAATGTGAGTTAGGGACCTTAGATTGTACACCCCTTGAGGGTTAGGGACTGATGTGAATGTACAATATACGGGGTGCGGCAACATAACTTCCTTTTTTCAAAACGCAATAAAACCCCATTTTATGAATCTGATTGTTTTTATTGTCTTTTAATAATGTAGGTACATATCTAAAGTTCTGTTTTACACAGTTTTGAAAATCATATCAGGTAGGTGATGCCCCCCATTGTCCATACACTGAATAAGCCGATTTCTGGCATTTTTCATGACCCTTACCAGCATAGCAGCGGGTATGTTGGCAATTTCTTTGCGGATGTTGGCCTTCAGGTCTTGTAGGGTCCTTGGATGGTTTACATAAACGCGGGAAGCTCTCACTGCTTCGATGTTCTCAGGTGATCTGATGGGTCGAGGGGACTCCTGCTCTTCGTCTTGTCGTACTCGCGGTTTGTCTGAATGTAGTGAGCCACGTAACAATTGATTTCCGGTCCGGGACATGGCCCAACGGGGCTACATTGAAGCGATGTCGGAAGGCGCGTTGGGTTGCGATCACAGAAAATCCGTTCGAAAAGTAGGCCTCTACGGCAAACGCACACTGCTCACTGTTCCAACGCATGATGATGACCGACCTGGAAGAGAACAAAAACTTTAGAACTACGCCTGTCGCCTGAGACCACTCCCTCCCGCCCCGCTATGGCCGCTACAGCCTGAATGGCACGCATTTCAAAAAAGGAAGTTATGTTGCTGCACCCTGTATATATGTGTAAAGCGCGGACTACATTGACGGCGCTATATAAGTACCTGAAAATAAATAAAAATAGTGGATGAGATAGATTTGCACGATACACCTGTGCCCACTAAAACTGCAGCTTGGTTTATACCAGTGCGGATTACATGGGGAAATGAGATCTAGGCCTAGTCCTTTGTACTAGCTCCTATTATCTCCATTCATTCTCTGTTCTGTTAGCTATACCTGGCTTGGCCTGGGATCACAGGCACAGCCGTACATTCTCATTTGTGTCTAATTATATTGTGGTTTTAGGCCTTAAGCCAGTGTTGTCTGTACACCTCCTGAGTATCATCTAACTGCAGTGAACACCTAGGCTTTAGCCTCTCAATGGGGGGAGGACTCGCCATGATCAGGTTGTTGACTGTTCAGCCACAATGCCATTGCCTTGAGAATGGAAGCGATCATTAAAGACGCAATATAGCTGTGTGAAAATATAACGGTCTACTTATAAAAAAAAAAAAAATTCACATAGCCATTCGTACAACAAAACTGCATGTACATTCATTCTGTGGGAATTACCCAGCATGCCCTCATTCATTGAAAGGATTTTAGAGCTGTGGATGTTTTAGGAAGAAGATAAAATCAAATCGCTCTCTTCTGATTGAATGTTCTTAGTGTATTTTTTTCTTAGTATTTAGTTATTTAGAGTATTTTCTCTTAAGATTGATGATGGTTAGGGTATTTGCTCCTCATTTTGAATGTTTTTAGGGTTTCCTTTTCTGATCAAATTTTCTTTGGGTATTTTGTCTTCTTATCATAGGAAAAAGCCCATCTCCGGGCAAAAAAAAAAAATGTTTACAGCTAGTTTCTGTTTAGGGAGAGGAGAATATACTTAATCCTCTGATCCTCCCAGAACAAGACCAGTCCGGCACCCCCACGCTCCAGCAGTATTGAGTTGTGGACTGTTCCTGACGCCATCAAGCCCAGAGCAAGCTCTATAGACCAGGAACAGTCTACTGCTGAACCATGGGGGAGTGTCATTTTTCCAATAAAACAAAGGATCGGGTGAGTATACGCTTTCTCCTCACCCTTCGACAAAACAAGCAGTTGACCGACACAGCCCCACTACATAGGAAATTATTTTTTTTTCTGCTCAGAGTTGGATTTTAAGTTTAAATGTACAGTCTGATCACAGGTGGAGGGGAGGCTGAGTAAGTGCTTCCTCCTGTCTGCAGCAGACAGATGACGTTGTCATTATGCCTAGGCTAGTGTCACCGGAGCAAGACTCCAGGTAGGCTATTTTGTTTGGGTATTTTCTCTTCAGAGTGAATGTTCTTAGGTTATTTTCCCTTGGGATCAAATGTTCTTTGGTTATTTTTTCTTCTGATCAATAGTTAAGTTACAATTTACAGTCTGGTCACAATGGTAGAGGAGGCTTAGTAAATGCTTCCTCTTGTCAATCTTGGCAGATTGATGACATCATCTTAGCCTAGGCTAGTACCACTAGAGTGAGGCTCAAGGAAGGATTTTTAATACAGTGGCTAAATGGTTAGCACTTCCACCTGGCAGTACTCGGGTCGTTGGTTCGAATCCCAGCCACGGCACCACCTGCCTGGAGTTTGCATGTTCTCCCTGTGCTTGCGTGGGTTTCCTCCAGGTACTCTGGTTTCCTCCCACACTCCAAAGACATGCTGGTAGGTGAATTGGATCCTGTCTAAATTGTCCCTAGTATGTGTATGTATGAATGTGAGTTAGGGACCTTAGATTGTACACCCCTTGAGGGGTTAGGGACTGATGTGAATGTACAATATATGTGTAAAGTGCTGCGTAAATTGACGGCGCTATATAAGTACCTGAAATAAATCAAAAATAAAGTAGAGCTCTTTTGAAACTTGCTGTATATTGTGATATGTGAGGATTTTTTTTTTCCTAGAGAACTGTACAATTTACTAAAAGGTTCACTTTCTTGCAACATTCCCTATTTTTTTTGGCCATATCCATCACATCTTATTGTGAAAAGTGACCACTATCACCGAGAACAATTTTAATCCCTTTTCTGCAGAGGAAAGGGGATCAGATATTGTCTGTATTTATGGCTGAATGCGATACATTGTGACCTAGATTACCCCTCTTTCCTTCTTTGTTAAACCATTAGCTGCTCATTGTTTCGGTCTATTAAAATTTTTGAGCATCGCATTTCAAGCCACATTGTCATCTCCAATTGTTACCAGCAGTTCCCGCTGAAGTGCCGAGTCCTCAAGGACTTCTCTCCGATAGTTTCAGTGTTCAATATTTCTCCAATTACCATCTTTATTTATCCCCAAATAGGCCCCGTAGGTGAGCTCCCTCCCCTGGGCTAGTCTCTCCCCGGTGACACTAATTGATTCTATGACACGGCAGCTGATGGCTCACCTGAAATTCGATGCTGCTGTAGAAGTCGCTATGCTAACGACTGTGTCTAAGTGACTGCACATTGCTCCTTCATAGAATGTATGGGAACCGTGCTGATCACTGAAGGCTTTGACGTGAACCTGTCACAGGGAAAGCAATGTTATGGTGTTCCTGGAGAAGAAGGGGTCTCTTTAAATTCATGCCATCTGTTCTGTACATTTAGTAATGGAAAATCAGCAATTTAATTATCTTCTATTTAAATCTCTTGTCTTTTTTGCAATATTATATGAGCATTCTGACAAGCTTGTTTGAGAAGGAACAAAAAGTGGTTGGTTGAACGGCAGAGGTGCCCGTAGAATGTATGATCAATGTATCGTAGGGTTTTTGTTCCTTTTTAATCAGAAAGCTGGATATCCTCCTGATGGCCTCTTTAAGAACCTTGGGTTGGGACCCCCAATATACTGATAGTGATCAGCTCTATCCTGCGTGAAGACAGGAATATTCTCCATTTGCGTACTAGAAAGGTGTAACATGGCTTATCCAACCGGGTCACCACATCACCAAATGTGACTTATGATTTTGATATTTATTAGCTTTTGGAGGGATACCTTGGGTTTTTTCTTGGGCCTGTATCCTACTCCTTTTGGCTATACCCCACTCAAACCGTGAGGACTGCCACCAAACAACCATTATTCTCGCAGGTTGCACTTTTCTTAAAGTGTTATCAAAGATGAGAAAAAAAAGGTATTTCACAGTTTATATTTACTAAAATAATTGCATTTCCATGTTCTGTGAACTGTGGGAGAACCAGATTTTGTGAATGCAGGTCCGGGGAAACCAGATATAGTGAATGCAGGGTCCGGGGAGACCGGATATAGTGAATGCAGGGTCCGGGGAGACGGATATAGTGAATGCAGGGTCAGGGAGACCGGATATAGTAAATGCAGGGTCCGGGGAGACCAGATATAGTGAATGCAGGTCCGGGGAGACCAGATATAGTGAATGCAGGGTCCAGGGGAGACCAGATATAGTGAATGCAGGGTCCAGGGAGAGCGGATATAGTGAATGCGGGGTCTGGGGAGACCGGATATAGTGAATGCGGGGTCCGGGGTAGAGCGGATATAGTGAATGCGGGGTCCAGGGAGAGCGGATATAGTGAATGCGGGGTCCGGGGAGACCGGATATAGTGAATGCGGGGTCCGGGGAGAGCGGATATAGTGAATGCGGGGTCCGGGGAGACCGGATATAGTGAATGCGGGGTCCGGGGAGACCAGATATAGTGAATGCGGGGTCCGGGGAGACCAGATATAGTGAATGCGGGGTCCGGGGAGACCAGATATAGTGAATGCGGGGTCCGGGGAGACCAGATATAGTGAATGCGGGGTCCGGGGAGACCAGATATAGTGAATGCGGGGTCCGGGGAGACCCGATATAGTGAATGCGGGGTCCGGGGAGACCAGATTTAGTGAATGCGGGGTCCGGGGAGACCCGATTTAGTGAATGCAGGGTCCTGGGAGACCAGATTTAGTGAATGCAGGGTCCTGGGTTTAGTTATACTTTAAACTTTTCCAAGCAGAAATACATTTACAGTATGTAAACGTTCTTAAGGGGAAAGCTTTGTGATTTCCGGTACTAAATCTAGACCGTATAGAGAAGTTCCGGCCTCCACGGACTATAAGTAGTACCTCTTGATCCCGGACACACCCCCAACTTGTTGATTAGACAGTCAAGAAGTAGCAACAAACTGAGCAGTTTCCATACTGTTCTCTCATCTTGTCCCCCCCCCCCATAACCCCCATACTAACCATTCCTCTATTCCCAGCACTGACTCCCATATGAAGCATCCCTCGATGCTGGTCATTCTAAACAATTTTGTGCCAATTTTGTTTTCAACTGTAGTTGCATCCTAGTGTTCATAGACCAAGGATTGGAAAGTAATCAAAACCACCTCAGTGTCACTCCAAAATTAATTTTCATTTGAATTGCACCCCAGTATTGTCATTGGTGTTGAAATCAAAAAACTTTTCTTGTTGAAGGCTGACTGAAAGCGACAAATTGACACGTTTATGTAACAGTCTCTTGTCTGAATGTAGTCCAACGCCAGACTCCCTTTCCCCCCATCATTTATCTTCTGATTTAAATTGTATGTTCTTTCCAGATGGCTTCAGACTGGTCATGCTACATAGGGTCCTCTCTCCTATGCTGTCCCTAGTGATGCAGAGGGTAGTGCTGGCATGATGACGTCAATGCTAATTTCTGTATAATTGATTTCCTCATGGTGGCAGCCCTTCAGGGGTGGATCATTGACAATATGAGCTCACTTTTCTGTGTTAAATGTTACTTTTGAACACTGGGGACATCTAGTGAGGGGAAGGAATAACTGCAAGGGACAGACCTGGAGTGGAGGCGAGTATTGCAGCTAGCTGCTGGGGCACCATTTAAAACCAAATGAACCTGGAGTTGGCTTTATCCACTTTCATGCCTACTCTCCTCTCTTGAGCTGGGATCCTCTGTGTCAAAGTCTGGCCACCCTGCACCAAAAGATGCCAGCGCATAAGTCCCCAGCATTGGAATTTACAGATTTATTATAAATTTGTGTTCAGGACAACATGGGGACCTTTGTAACATTTGCTCAGAATTTGGGCTCTTTCTCTCTTCATGTTCATCTATGTCGATACTAAAGGGTCTAAAAGTGTACAATCAATAAGCCTGCAGCTGAATATTCCCTCTGATTGCCTTTCTCTCCCACGCTGTTATAATTAGAACATGTGGACTGAACTTTGATGTCGCCAGTTAGGTCATGGCAGAAAAACCACCTGGCTGTCAGCAGGGACCGGTTTAAATGAGCAACCAGCACAGAGACGGACATCTGCAGCCTTCACCACAAAGATAAAACAAACCCTATGTAGGTCAAGCACAAAAATAGAAGTCCAGGCGCTTGGCTGTATGAAGACGGCAGAAGACACTTCACTGTAGCTGTAAATACAATGGATCACCCGCTGTCACATTTCACATGGGGAGAGGGTTGGAAGAGAGAAGGCATTGTTTGAATGGAAGAGGGATTCATGACATTATTATTTTAGAAAGTCCGCCTTGGTGGCAATAAAGTTGGGCACTCTCTAGTTAGATTTTACTTCTTTAGGTCGAAGCCGTAAAACTGGCCACACTTGTTAAAATTTGCTGATTCATCTTCTTAAAATGTATGTCTATGCAAAACCTTTTTGTTTTGGGAAGGGTCAGAACTCATGTTGGGTTTTAGGGCAATCTCGGGCCCTGTTAGAGAGATTTACGTTTTTAGTTATGTCGGTGTTGCTGTTGGAGAGTTCCCCTCCCTTTCAGTCTAGTGTCACATCCAACAACGCCAATATCAAACCCGCCCCGCAGGCCAGAGTACTTGGTGTCATTCTGGACTCCAACCTATCCTTCCAGCCCCAAGTCCAATCTTTAACAAACTCGTGCAGACTCCACCTCCGCAACATCGCCAAAATACGCGCGTTCCTAACCCCAGAAAACCACTAAACAGCTCATCCACTCCCTCATCATATCACGACTCGACTACTGCAACTCCCTCCTCACTGGCCTGCCTCGCCGCTGGGTATCCCCGCTTCAGTCCATCCTGAATACGGCTGCCAGACTCATTCACCTTTCCAACCGCTCCGTCTCCGCCACCCCCCTCTGCCAATCCCTCCACTGGCTTCCGATTGCGCAACGGATCAAATTCAAAATCCTAACATTGACGTACAAAGCCGTCCACCATACTGCCCCGAACTACATCACCGACCTGATATCCAAGTACCGCCCAACACGCACAATCCGCTCCTCACAAGGCCTCCTTCTGTCTAGTTCCCTGGTCTCCTCCTCCTCCCATGCCCGCCTCCAGGACTTCTCCAGGGTGTCACCCATCCTCTGGAACTCCCTGCCCCAACCCATCAGATTATCACCAACTCTCCTCTCGGCGCACCCTGCAAACCCATCTCTTCAGGGAAGCCTACCCCAACCCCTGCTAACTTGCCGACCTCCTCCACTCTTCCTACCACTCCATCCCCCACAGCTATCTCCTCCTGTGCCACCATCCCCTCCCTCCTAGATTATAAGCTCCAAAGAGCAGGGCCCTCAATCCCCTCATGTTTTGCATTGTATTGGTATTGTTCTGTCTCATGTTCTGTCTCCCTTTGTAATGTACAGTGCTGAGCAAACTATTGGCGCTTTATAAATACTGTATAATAATAATAATAATAATAATAATAGTGTCACTGCATATGTCAGCTGCCAGGGGGAGCGGTAATAGATGGAGATTAGCCTTAGCTGTTGACCTTTGCTGGAAAGTCTATATTGGTGTATTGGCATACCTAGCAAGGCTTACCAATATTTCAGTCCAAGGCCCTGTTAACCACACAGATAAGGGTGATACTGTGATCCCGGGTCATTGCCCGGGACACAGCAAAATGAGCACTAAGTTCCAAGATACAGGACTGTCCCGGCATGTGTAGTATTACACATAAGGATGTGATCCTGGGACTTGGCCTGGGACACAGCATCGAGGAGACTGGAGTCCAACATAATTGACATTCCCAGCACGTGCATTCACCCAAATAAGGGTGACATTGTGATCCTGGGATACAGCACCATCATCACTGAGGTCCAAGATAAAGGACTATCCCAGCATGTGCATTACCTCAAAGGTGGTTTTTGATCCTGAGTCATTGCCGGGGACACAGCATCCTGGAGACTGGAATCCAACATAATTGACTTTCCCAGCATGTGTGGTAACCCAAATAAGGGTGACATTGTGATCCTGGGATACAGCATCATCGGCACTAAGGTCCAAGATAAAGGACTATCCCAGCATGTGCATTAACTCAAATAAAGGAGGCACTGATCCTGGGACATTGCCTAGGACACAGAATCATGAGAACTGAGTTCCAAGATATGGTACTGTCCCAGCATGTGCAGAACTCAAATAAGGTGACCCTGATCCTGGTACATCATCCAGGACACAGCATTGCCAGGTCTAAAGACCAAGATGCGGAACTGCCCTGGCATGTGCAGTAACTCAAAAAAGGGTAACACTGTGAATCCTGGGACACAGCATAATGGAGATTGAGGTCCAAGATGCGGAACTGCCTTGGCATGTGGAGTAACTCAAATAACTCACGTAACGCTGTGATCCTGGGACATTGCCTGGGACACAGCATCATTGGGGCTACAGACCAGGATGTGGGGCTGTCTTGGCATTTGCAGTAACTCAAATAAGGGTAACATTGTGATTCTGGGACATTTCCCAGGACACAGCATCATGAACACAGGTTCAAGATACGGAACTGCCCTGGCATGTGGAGTAACTCAAATAAGGGTAACGCTCTGATCCCGGGACATTGCCCAGAACACAGAATGATCAAGGCTGAAGACCAAGATGCGGGACTGTCCTGACATGTGGAGTAACTCAAGGGTAACACTGTGATCCCGGGACATTGCCCAGAACACAGAATGATCAAGGCTGAAGACCAAGATGCGGGACTGTCCTGACATGTGGAGTAACTCAAGGGTAACACTGTGATCCCGGGACATTGCCCAGAACACAGAATGATCAAGGCTGAAGACCAAGATGCGGGACTGTCCTGACATGTGGAGTAACTCAAGGGTAACACTGTGATCCCGGGACATTGCCCAGAACACAGAATGATCAAGGCTGAAGACCAAGATGCGGGACTGTCCTGACATGTGCAGTAACTCAAGGGTAACACTGTGATCCCGGGACATTGCCCAGAACACAGAATGATCAAGGCTGAAGACCAAGATGCGGGACTGTCCTGACATGTGAGTAACTCAAGGGTAACACTGTGATCCCGGGACATTGCCCAGAACACAGAATGATCAAGGCTGAAGACCAAGATGCGGGACTGTCCTGACATGTGCAGTAACTCAAATAAGGGTCACATTGTGATTCCAGGACACAGTGTCTAGGAGACTGACGTCCAAGGTGCAGGACTGCCCCTGCAAATCTGGGACAGTTGACAACTATGCATCAGTAACTGTAATGTTTAATCTGTTCAGACTGCACATTTTTGGTAAAAAGAGAAGTACTATTAAAAAAGTAGATGAGAACTTTCCTGAGTTTTACATGCTTGGGTTTTTTTTTTTTCTTTAAGGAAGCTACAGCCACCAGTTACAGCAAAGCACAAATGAAATGTTAAAAAAAAAAAGCTCAACCTCCAAGCGACTTAACAATAGGTACTTGCTGCTTTGGCGTGACCCTTAATGCTAAATAAAAACTATGGTGTTCAGAAACTTTTTTTTCTCTTTTTTTTCTTCTTTTTCAAATGTGAAAGACCGTGCGCCTTTAAATTAAAAGAATACCCTGCTTTGTTTTTCCTCTGCTCAGCTAGATTCCTGCCGCGCCGGGCGACCCTTGAGCCGCCGCCGCCTCCCATTACTGGTGAACTATTTGCCATCCGAGCAATATTTGCTAGTTAAATTTGCTCAGAGGGTTGGTGTTATCACAAAGCTGCAATTGTCTGTCACAATGGGCCTCTGCCAAATC